TCACCAGATCCCATCATACCTGAACTAGGAGGCACACACCGAAACTGCTGGGGGGACTGATTCAGGAACTCCATCTGCAGTGGACTGCAGATAGCGGCTGGGGTTGTATGACCTCCCTGTATTGCTCCTCTTGCTGCCACTGTGGGAAGCAGAGTGTTGGGCTAGAGGGACCACCGATCTGAGCAAGCTTGGTATTATGTTGTTACTGTAATTCTGGCAAGATACGTGTTTCGTAAGGGCAGTTATTTGTCTTTGTGTGCATCTGACTATAAACTTCTCCATTCAGGAACGGACCATACTATTTCCATTTATTTTGTTTTGAATGTACTTTAAAATCCTTTAAACTTTTTTGCTGCCTTCCTAGGTTGGATTTTTTCTTACTATCTTTAGTTTCCTTTGCAAATTTTCTAGCCTTTCTGATTTCTAGTCAGTATGAATAAGTTTCCTCTTTTTTTTTTTTTGCATATGTTTTTGCATAAAACATATGCAAAGCTTTTGAAGTTTCACTTTGTCATTAAGATACCTGTCTAACATGAGTGGGATGGATCACTGCTGAGAGGTGTTTATTTCTCAATTGCTTACCAAGGGAGCTTAGATAAATAGCTTAGACTAAACCCCTAACTTTCAGGTGGCTAATGCTGGGTGAAATTAATTTGCCCCAACTACATAAAATGCCACCTGGGATTATCCACTGTCTGTTCATATAAAATGTAACGGTGTTGTAACCACTGTTCCCTAGCCAGTCACCAACCTTCAGTGGTGTGAATATTTAGATTATGATTATAATATTATAATAAGATATATTATTATAATAAGATATTATAATATTAAGATCAGATTATTTAGCGTAAAGCAGTACGGTAGTCTATTGGTGTATTCAGAATTTTTTGATTTCGAGTTGCCAATAGTTTTAAAAAGTTAAGTGTCCTGAATGTAGATTACTACCATACCATAACATCATTATATTCTTTAAAAATACTGTTCTCATTCCAGTTAGGCTAAATATTTGCATAGGGAATACTGACTGCTACAAGACTAAGGAGGTACACTGGGGGAAAGACATTGTAAGCTTGGTCTATATCTTACATTCTTTTTCTGAGTATCCTCTGCAGATTGCTGTCAAAGATGGCACTAGTGTCAAGCAGCCTTTGGTCTGGTTTGGTACGCTTCTACTTTTGTTTTTAGGTAGGTGTCCGTGATGTCCACTATGTCAAATCATGAAGGATTTCTATCTGATTTGTCTTTAAATCTTTAAGTTTGGGAAGTAAACTACTACTCTCTTCCCTTTGACACGATTCAATTCATCTGTGACATGGTAAATTTGTCTTTCTGCTGGATTTGTCTTTTTGGCACCTTTTTCTTTTTTTAAGAAGCAGTTTTATACCTTCTTGTCTGTTCCAATTAATGCTTTCTGAAGAGATTGGCCATACTGGATGAAGACCCCCATTTATAGTGTTGCACAGAGCCAAAGCCCTCATTTTTTCACTGCTTGTGCAGCCCACCATTCATCTCTGGTATTTTATTTCTTCTCTTGTTTGCGGGCCTGAAAAGGCCACCAAGAAGATAATTTAGAGTTTCCTTCTCTTCAGTTCCTTCCAAAATCCTTTAAGTCTTCTATAATTGGTTCCAGTGTATCCCACCTTCATCTGAGAGATGATAGATGACTTGCTTCATATTCTCCATTCAAACTTTCTGTTAGATTTCCTACTTTTGGCCTGTGGAGATTTAATTTCTTTCATTGTCCTCATTTCTTTCCAACTCTCACTTCCTGATTTCATTAAGACTCTTTTGACTGCATTTTTGGCTATCATAGGGCCACTAAAAAGGACTTTACAAAAGGTATTAAAACTTTTGAAACCCTCAAGGCAGATGGGTCTCTCCTGAAACCTTGTGATTTATTCTGCAGAAGAAGCAGAATAAGCAAGCCCCTGGCGTAGAAGCAGGGGTTAGTCACTGTAAGAGAAAACCAAATCCAAACAGTCCTTTTAATGAGCACAGGAGACTTAATGTATGTCTTCATTGTTTGAGATAACACACTTTTACTTCTGAGCAGATCATGTAGCTTTTACTGGCTGTTACTGAGAAGTAGTTCGTTTTCTGGGCAGTATTTATAAGAAAGAAAGTGAAGTCATTTTATATATTATATTTTATTTATTCATTAGGTCTATGTGTTTATTTAATTTCAGGTGTAGCAGCCTGAAAAGAAAAAGCATTCAAACATCTGACAATCTGTTACGGTAATCCCAATTCATAAATATCCAAAGCAAGAAAGGTCATTTTCAGAGCCATTTGATAAACTCATTACAAGCTGATACTCTAGAGATTTTCAAGGAAATACCCTCTCAATATACTATCTATATTGGATAAATATCCAATGGTAGCATCAGTACATTTATACCCTGCACAGCCCAATGGATTGCATCTTTAAGGCAAGCCATGAATCTGTTCTGAAAGTGAAGCTGTGTTCCGGAACGTAGATCTTCAGCTGGCTGGGTGGATTACTTCTATTCTTCGGTAGGAATATATAGCATAGGAGAAGAATATTTTTGGTTTCTGGTAGAATTTCCTAATTGAGTCCATGTCCAGTAGTGACTGAATTTGATCCTTGTTGGAAACAAAGGAAAATAATTGATTGTAGGACTTGCCAGTAATTAATTAGGCCAACAAGCCATACACATTCAGCTTCTCTCAGTTCAGAGGAAATTATTTCTTCCTGACTCATGCCATCAAGTGACAGTTGCTTGAAACTTCACAGAGTAATACAGAGGACATCTCTTAGCCCAGTGGTGATCAGTTTATGTTCTGAAACTTGTTACTGATTACACTTTTAAGTTAAAGGTAATGATGAAATGGGTCATAAAATTCTCCAGCTTTTAAAAATATATAGAGGAAATATGTGACTGTCTGTCCAGTTGCAGTAACAACGGAGGGCAACAGGCCTTCAGTTGTTGTAGATCAGCACTGAGGCTGAGCTATGACAATTTATACAAGTTCAGTTGCTGGATCCCTATGGTAGATTTTCCTACTAACTTGTCTCATTGATTCCTTGCTCCTGTGTAGCAGAACAGTGCATAACAGATGTTGCTTTGTGCAAAGAAACAATCTTTTCAACAATCATTGAAAAAACTGCATCAGTATTTTCTAAAGCAGTCTTGGTCTTGGGTTTCTGCAGGATGGGAGCCTCAGAAGGCATTTGGCTTCCCATCCCTGTAGTTCCTCCATACCCGCTCTCCATTAATACTGTGTGGTACAGTGGGAAACCTATGTCGTATGACATAGGTGTATAGCTGTGCTGCCTCCAGACCATGTTTCTCGTTGAAATCATGATACAAAGAGGCCTAAATCTGATGGCAGAGCATTGATTTGCTCAGGTGTTGCACCCAGGAAAAGGTATCACCAATGTACACCGAGATGCAATATTATTTCTTGAGGCTCCTTGGGCCATAGGAACTGCAGCATCAGGCAAACCCTGCCACATTCACTACATAGTGAATGTAGCAAAATGACAGGTCTCATTTCATAGGTCTCAGAAAGTCTACCTAAAACAAATCAGGGAATCCTCTCTAAACCAATGCCAGAACCAAAGTATCATTTAGAAATAATAATCTGACAAGCTTAGACTATGTAGAGTTTATTGACTATAAATGGCTTGGTTTAAGCCAAAACCTTCAGTCATGTGTAAACCTGCCGTATTTACTCTGCTAGGTGACTAGTGCTTATTAATTTCAACTGCTGATCCCCTAAACTTGTAGATGAGCTCTGTAGACATGGGGTTGAATAAAGCTTTGCTATTACAGGCTAAAGTTCTTCTCTCAGATTCACACCATTAAGATAATTATTTTTCATAATGTTTGAGAAATGCCATCTGGAAAAACCATATGATATAACAGGCGTGTTTTATCTGTTTTATTATTTGAGCTCTGGAGGAGCTCAGATCAGTGACATCAATACTTGGACTGTGGCACACATTTTATTAGTAGCAGTGCTTCAGCTTGGTTTGTGAAGATAGTGATGGCAAAGAAACTGTCGGTTCCAGTGCAAATTCTGTTTCCCCTGAAGCCATTCTAATATTCACTTTACATCACACAGGAAAGTACAACTAATAGAAAAGAGGTCAAAGTCAGACAAAGTAAAGTGAATCAAGCTGTCTTACATTGGATTTCTGGGTATGCCTCATGGATATAGATAGGTGACAGTGGCTGGTTCATGCAGATTTGTTGACAATTTCAATTGACCTTAAGAGGTGGATAGTTGCCTTTTATTTGTAAAAACACAGCTGAGAAAAATGATTTTTAGCAGCTCCTTTGCTATAACTGCACTTTGAAGTATTCTGTAGACCTGCCTTTAAAGTTAGTAACATTCAACATTGCTGGGTTGAGTCTGACTTTGTATGAACATGTGCATGTGTCTGTATATATGTCTATGTAAGATTTCCTTTAATTTTCATTTTTCCTTAATGTAATCTTCAAATTCAAAAGTAAAGAATGAGAATGTGACTGCTTCCACAGTGTTTATATTGTATAAATAAGCTATTGAGCCCAAATTCAGCCCTCAGTTACAGTGGAGCTACTGTATTAGATGAAACTGTCAGTTCTGCTTGGATCCTTTAGGTCTTCTCAACTCCATGATAGTTTTAATCCACTGATCCATGTTTGAATGCAATCCCCCCTTACTTTCAACATAATTCTGCCATGATCATTTGAAAGAAGTTTGCAAAAGCTTTTCCAGTGGCTCTCAGCCAAGATCTGTTTTCATTTACATCTGCATGCCTCGTTAAAGTCAGTTGCTTTGCAAAGATGAAATCACTGTCTAGGTTGTAAGTTCTAGGTTGTAAGAACGTAGGTTCTTCACAAGGAGTGAGCTGGACCTCTGGAGTTCAATGAATATTGGGGATATAGAGCGGTTTTGCTCATTGTAAAAACTGATATTGCGAGCATGCTAGAAACGGAATGAATCAGAGTACATTGCTAACGTGTGTCTTTTGTCTTTGTTATGTATAGGAGAAATGGGGGACAAAGGACAGAAAGGCAGCATAGGACGGCATGGAAAAATTGGTCCTATTGGTTCAAAAGGTATGCTTAGTTCAATTGTTTCTCCCTTTGTTTTCAGACGAAAAATCTGTGTTCATTTATGTTTGAGAAAAGTTTAGGTGCTTGAAAAATGGTTAACAAGTCCCAGAATTTACCATAATAGGGAGTTTCTCACACTGTAGTCAGCCAGATGACTGAGATCTCTCAGCCAGTTACCTTTCGCTCTGACAGCAGTGTATTTAGCCTTAAAGCAGAGTGAGAATCTTGGTTTACGGCTAAATAAAGAAATTTGCACACAATCACACAAGCGTGGACAGTTAAGAGAAGCAGATGGGAAGATGCACTGTATTTCAGCAGACTTTTAAGAGCCAGAAAACTTGAATTCTAATCTTGCCTACCTCATAGGCTTCCTATGTGACTTTGGTTAAAGCATTTGGACTATGAACCGAGATTTAGGCACCAGCGTAGCATATCCAGCCCTTTTCCCTCTACAGCATCTGAACTTATTGGTTCTGTGAAGTTAATGAATGTCAAAAAAAATGGATATTGGTACACATTCTTTGTTTTCAAGTTTCACAACTTTGGCTGGCCTTCGTTGTGGAACAGCTAGGACAGAAAAATCTTTAATTTTGCTTGGGCATATTTCTACTTTCCACATTTGAATGTTACTAGAGAAAAAAATAAGCAAGTGCTAAATGAACTGTTCACCAAAAAACCTGCCTTAAATTTATATTCTTTTTCATGTCTCTAGGTGAAAAAGGAGATAATGGTGACATAGGACCACCAGGTCCTAATGGTGACCCAGGTAATCCATGGCACACCTTGTGTATGTGGAGGATTTTACAAGATGCATGCATCATCACCGAAAATACATGTCTGTTTACATACTGGGGAAAATAATGAAAAAATAAATATTTGTATAAGCACTGTAGTATTTCACTGTAATATTTTCAAATTACTTAAAATTATTGAAGCTGCAGTAGTTGCTGGACTTGTAGTCTATTTGTCAAAACAATGTCTCAGAGCTCCTCAAACGTGTGATCACTCCAGAAGACTAGCGGGAACGGAAGTGCGATTGTCTGTATCATTCACCACCAGTGCAAAGGGACATCTCTGCATATCCCACTCTGGCTTCCAGCCAACACAAATGAGCAGGTTGGAAGCTCCTGCCCCTTCATGGATTATTGTTGTAGGAGCAGGAGATTACCAGGAATACAGATCTTCCAGAGAAAAAGGTGAAAGCCTGGCATAAGAAGTGTTAGCCTTACCAAAGTGGCAGATTCAGATTTTACCCAATTCGTCCCGTCCTGGCAGAGTGCACTAGAGGTGCACCAATTAGTTTTCTCATGAGAACATAATTTGTCACCCTAACTCTTGAGGCAGAGTACCATATACCTAGTCATCAAGCAGAGTTTTGCAGTGTAAGTACCCTGTGCTTAGACACCTAAGCTGAGTAATTGGGTAGTCAAATGCAGATTTGAATAATTACAGACAGAACTGGAAACTGTAATTGATCCTCGTTTTGAGATTTGAACTCACAGATGTAACAATTATCCTTTTAGTATTCTCATTCATATTATCTTTGTGAAACCAGTATCAATTTGGGTTAATAGATGGTTTTCTATTGTCTTATTTTATTGAAAGAAGAACTGTAAATTTTGTACTTTTGAAAGTACAGAACTACATTTTGCAGGTAATTATGTGCATTACATGGTTGGAACATTAGCCTTTTGGATCCACTGTGTTATGTTCCTCGTGAGGAACAGGCGGACAATGCACTGTGCAGATTTTTGCTGTGGAAAAAGTGCTCTTTGGAGAAGACTGAAGAGAATAATTTCACTCAAAATGGGAAATTTTGACAAATGTTTTTAGTTAAAAAAAAAAATCTGTATTTTTTTTGCAGGGAATATCTGTCTATGTTCAGGTTAGTACTAATCATGTAGGGCTGAAGCTTCATGGGAGGTGAACTGAGCTGTTCTGGATAGGCCCAGACACCCGTGAGAACCATATGATGGTGCAGGGTAGCGAAGGCTCTAGGTTTCTGTCTCTTATTTGCCAGACAGCCCTCTCCAGGGCTGCCAGGCTGGGCCTTTTCATAAAATTGTTTAGATAATTATTGAAATTGGATAGCTTTTTGATTTTGGTGTATCTGTATCATTTCACAGGCATCCCCTGTGAGTGCAGCCAGCTAAGGAAGGCTATTGGTGAAATGGATATCCAAGTGGCCCAGCTGACAACAGAACTAAAATTCATAAAAAATGGTAGGTTAATTTTATATAAATATTTTCCTTTCTTGTTGTCTCAGTTTACCGGTGCAGTTGCTCGTAGAGAGCAGCACCATCCCGCATCTGATTTGTGAAGCTATTTTGGGGTGTACAGTAAGTTGGTTTATAGAAATGCGAGTGCTCACTTTTCAGCACTGCCCTCCCCCGCAGCTGTTGCTGGTGTGCGTGAGACAGATAATAAGATATATCTGCTGGTGAAGGAAGAGAAAAGATACAAGGAAGCCCAGCTCTACTGCCATGGAAGAGGAGGGACGCTGAGCATGCCCAAGGATGAGACTGCCAACAATCTGATCGCCTCGTACATCAACCAAGCCGGGCTCACCAGAGTTTTCATTGGGATTAACGACCTAGAGAAAGAGGGAAATTTTGTCTATTCTGACCGATCGCCCATGCAGACCTTCAACAAATGGCGCAGTGGGGAGCCCAACAATGCTTATGACGAGGAGGACTGTGTGGAGATGGTGGCGTCTGGCGGGTGGAATGATGTTGCGTGTCATATTACCATGTATTTTGTGTGTGAATTTGACAAAGAAAATGTCTAATCTTGTCTGCTCTCTCTTTATTTTAAGAAAAGTTTTTAAGCTGATTGTACAAGTTACCCCATGTTTATAGAGTACAAGGGATATTTTGCAAGTATGTGGCATCAGTGTTGTACAGCTGTAAATACAATTTAGGTATTTCAAATATCAGTATTTACCCTTCAGAAGGGAAGAGCAGTGATAAGACATAGCTTTTTTCTGTAGGAAAATATATGTATTTAGATAAAAATGTGCTTTGGGCTAAATTCTGCCCTCACAACAGTTAACAAGTGCGATTGCATGACTGCAGGGGAAGGCAGAATTTGGTCTCTAGTTGTCAGAATGATGATTTCTGAAGAAGTAGATTCCTGATATTCTTTTATCTTAGCAAAATTTGTTGTTATAAATGTTAATTGCTTGTAGTGCTACAGGGATATTTCAGCAACAAGGCAAATATTTTGTATACTCCAGTTAATAAGTACAAATATTACTGTAAGTTTTTTGGATGTCAAGGTGTTACAACTTTTTTTTTAAAAACAGCCAAAGCAAAACAACAGATCAGGAGTCCTACCAATTTTGTACTGTTTCTTTATTAATTTGTTCACAGATGTATAACAAGGAGGCACTTAAGCAAACTGAGTTTTAGTGCTGAAGGAGGACAAAGTTCTTGTAATTTAGTACTGAAAGAGGGGATCCCAGCCAGATGGGTGTTTTGGGGTTGGCTAAAGGTACAAGTAAGATTTTGGTTTTCTGTATTCTTTAGTTGAGAATGATTCAGTGCACGAACTATTTCAGGCCCCAGATAATTTCTTAAAGTAAACATATTTCACATTTGTATAATATGATCTTGGTGTATCTTGTTACAAAACAAACAAAATACCAGCCCTCCACAATTTAAGGCAGACTTCATAAATAGACAATGGATCTCATAAAAATGGTTTAGCTAGTAGTTCCTTTTGGCAGGAAAACAGCCTACGTGTTTACTCAGATTGTAAGGATGACCCCCTGAAAAGCAGCAAAAGTTTCCAAAATTTTCCTATTTATGTATATAGCAGTAATAAGTAACTTTGCACAGATAATTTATGTACCCAATTTACAATTGCATGTGATGGAAAATGTGATGTATATTTAAAAAGCCAACAATATAATTTCACAAAGGAAATGATGAATCACTTTGGATCTTCCTAGGAGCCAGTTGCACAAAATCTTATCTTGCTCTTAGGCATAGAAAGACGAGTGCAAAATCTCTGACTGTGTTTTTTCAGGAATACCTTGCACAGTGTTTTAAGATGATTTTTAAGGAGAAATGATCCTTTGTATGACATAGTAATCAAAATACATATCTGATCATTATGGGAGATTGGTCTATAGGATTTCCACAGCAGATGTGGCATGTGGTCCCAGAGATTTCCCTACTGCAAGGCAAGACCAGCTCTTATAAACTCTACAGTGCCATGGTATATAAACAATCAGTGGCCATACAATTCTGTTCATATCCACAGAGTCTGACAATATTTGATGCGATGCTATTATTATATACCTAAGAAAACAAACCATTTTGCTTGTTATATTTACTCTGTGAATTTGAATCCATTATATTTATATATATATATATGTTTGCTATTAATTTTGAAGATCAGTAGCAAATTCCTATAGTTTTTGAAGATCAGTAGCAAATTCCTATAGTATTTGAATATCAGCCCAGCTCCAGAGCAGTCTCTCTAAGAAATGAACGATCCTTTCATTGCTTTACTTTCTTTGTACTAAAGGTAGGTATGATTCCTATATGTTAGGTGTTCTTCCAACTGTATATTGAAATCTATTCAATAATGTGAATATGGTTCTACACTAATATTCAAAGACTCTTTACAGAATTTGCAGGGAGCTAGCAAATCCAGTATAGCAATTTGTTTGTTTAGCGCCTTTTGAATGTCATGATTGTTTCCTGCCTGCTATAGAAATCCTCAGAAACCATTTAACTCTCCAACATACTTTTGTCAAATCATTGTAGCTATGTTAAAACAGTCCAAACCTGAGTTACAGGTATCTGGAGCTCCCTCATTATGTACGTGCTGAAGTTGCTAACTGTTTATTTTTCACCCAGGTTTTGAAAGTCTCTGTTGTAATGTTCGATTTCCTCAGAAACATGAAAAGAGGCCTTTTGAGAAGGTGGGAAGCTTTTTCAGATGCCAAATGCTCCTATTTTAGCTGGAAGTCACACCACATTTATAAAGATTGCCTTGATGTGTAGAGCATTTAAGCAGTCTCAATTTCTATTAAAATTTAAGATGAGAAATAAAGGCAATGAAAACAAATTTCCCCCGTAGTTTGTGTGTTCTTCAGGATATATTTTTGCAGCTCTTGATATACAAGATAGAAAGGAAATTAGCTGTATTGTCAGAGCCCTGTACGTTGGCTGCTACAGTCCTTATTTCACTGTTTGGGCAAGGGGAGTGGGGCTACTGTGTAAGGTCTCTAGCTGTCCTGCGAGGAGCAAAGACTGCACATCTGATATTTACCCCTGTGAGGAACTGGGCAAGAAATGATGGAGGGATTGGAAATGAATGAGCCCTTCATAATTTCTTTCACCCTACAGTTGCTGACCCCCATAGGTGGACCCTTGCTGGAGGCAGAAATCAATGTCACATGTAGCGCTCAGCCTGCATGAAGCCTGCTGACGTGCATGGTAAGATTTCCATTACTGTCAGTGGAATTTGGAGCTATTGTTTTAGGAAAAAATCAAATGATAAGTTAGTTTTATTTGGGGTATTTTCCATATGCATTAAAACCTGCATTGTAATATCATTACTCATTTTGTGTGGCTCTACAGGAGCCTTTGGAACATGTCTGTCTGGCAAGCATGCACTGAGGTTTCCCAGACTGTTCTTATATGCTTTACTTTTGATGGATGATTTTTCCTCATAAATATTTCCCCATAGCCCTTATTTATTTTATTCTTAATTAAGGGGCATGTTGGTACATTTTAAGAAAGCAACAATAACAGTTGGGGTTTTTTTTTATATAGTCCCCCATTCATGCTCTGGAATGACTTCTTCACATAAAATGCATATTTCATTCAACTATATTCCGAACCTTTAGCTGCTAAGGCTGTGTTGTATTACTGATGTTAGGGCCAGATGTGCATCCCCCTTCTAGGAGATGACTTGGCAAAGGTAAAGCATTTAGCTGGCTGAGTCCAAGGGCAGCTCCATGGCCGGTGACAGCCCTGTGTCACTATGGACGTCCCGGGAGAGCACTGGATGATGTCTGACCTTGATCACCACCCGGATTTGCCACTCCACATCCTGGCTCCTTGGTGGAAGGTGCTGCTTGTTATCCTGCTCGGCTCCTGGTTCACCATCCCTCGTGGACAAGCTGGTCCTCACTGTGCCCTGACAGCTGACATGATTATCCCTGAAAATATGGTTTTGTGACAGGTTGCAGGTTAGCAGCAGAACTTCTCCCTGGCTGTGAGTTTTAAACTGTCTTATGTCACAGAGAAGAACTGTAAAAAATTAATATTTATACATGGGATATAGAGCATCCTTATTCATATAAGTAAAATGGAGTTTTTCATAAGCTCAGGAAATGCCAGTTCAAATATGCATTACAAAATAGCAGCTGGTTGGACTTTTTTTTGTTACAGTTTTTCATGAAAAGTGAAATAAGATGAAATTAAAACAATTTTTATTGTAAAATATGATGAAGGTTCAGAATGGACAAAGTTGTTTTGAAGTAGACATTTTTCAAGATGTTTCCTTTTGGAATTTTTCAGAATTTCATTTCTGAGTTCTGAAGCTTCATTTTGACCCCTAAAGGGATTTGATTTTTATATTATTGCTAATATGTTTTACACCATGTCAGTAACAGTGTTCAGTATAATGCTTGAAATATTTTACTTTATGTCTTAATTTCCAATGGGAACAAGTGCTCTTTTTGAGAGTTCTGTTGTTTGCCATACTGAAAGAGTTCAACACTTGAATCGGTTTTTCCTTCTGGGACTGCTATGACACTGTAAACACTCTGAATACAAAGCAACAGATAGTTCAACCAACATTAAGTAGAAGATATTCTTACTGATTATGAAAATGATTCATTTAAGTATTATGCCATATAACTAGCAGTATATGCACTATTACAAGTGCTAAATCATTAAATAAGATAAAACAATTACAAGCATTTTTAAATATGAAAATCTTACAAATATACTTTTGCCCTGAATTAAAACAAAAAGATGTCAAAGTAACTAAATTTCCAGTAAAGCGGAAATTCAAGGTTTCCCCTAGGTCTATATCCAGATCTAGTTTTTATGGGAAACTCAGTGATTTGTGATGCTGGTGGCTGAACCAAATCCTAGAAAATTAGTCTACAATGCAACACTGATTATATACAACTCTATCCCTTGCACTTTCTGGACTGCTTCCCCTTTATTTTCAAGCATTCTGCTCACTTAGCTCTGTATATAAATGCGTGCATGAATTTGTCCCCAGGGTCAATCTCTTTTCATTGGATATTCTGGTTTTCAATTTTTGGCTTGCCCTGTGGTGCCAACAAGTCCACGTCATTCAACCTGTCTGCCACAGATTATGGACCAAGAGATGTTTTTCTTGTCCACCTGGGGGAGTTGGGAATGCTCCATGAAATGAAAGTGTGTCCGTGTGCTTGTGATGTGAGAGGTATTTTGCGGGACCGCAGCTGGCCAGTCACCCATTCCCTGGGGTGCATACGCCTGGTTGGGGAGAGGCAGTCCAGCCTACTGAGAGGAGAACTGACCTTGTTATTGTGGGTAAAAAGAAACCAGAGTCTTAAGATTTACCTAGGGGAAAAAAATGTGCAGTGAAGGGTTTTGACTATTTACTTTACAGAGTAGCTGAGAGAAAGAACAGTTTGGTTTTAATTTTGCTGTGTTAGGAGAGTACAAATTATGTGAATTGGGAGAGAAAGGGTTTGTGGAGAGATGATAGCTGTGTGCTCAAGGTGTTTTTCTGGATGTGTGTCTCCTTGTAGCTGGGAGCTTTTCAACTGGATGAGGAGGGGAGTCCTCTCAAGAGGGAGAGCATGA